ATCTGCAGCGTACAACACAAACCGGACAGCCCACTATGCATCAGAAAGTCTAAATATAGCTCACAGTGTGTGTATGTGGCAGCGTGTGCACAATGTATCTGTCACTCATGATGCCAGATGCAATGGAAACAGCTCATGCAATTCCTAAAAAGGCATGTATACTATATACAGTACATTAACCACGCTAAAACTGTGGCTGTTTGAAATAGCTAAAGGGTGTCAGTGCAGTGTGTTAGTGTAGCACAAGAATACATTAGAAAAAAAATGTAAACTGCTTTTGTCTGCCCACTAAAAACAGCCCAAATGTCTTTGAAGGCAACTGTGCTTCCAATACTTAGATGTCACCTGCTAAATGACTCAACAAATGTCCCTTTCTCTGTACTAAAATGAATTTGATTTCAGTTTTATTCATATCACAACACAGTAGTTGCCTCAAGGTGCTTTTTATTGAAATGTAAAGACCCGCACCTATAGTAATACAAAGAAAACCCTCACAATCAAACAACCCCCTCTGAGCAAGCACTTGGTGACAGTGGGAAGGAAAAACTCTCTTTTAACAGGAAGAAACCTCTCGCAGAATCACGTTTTGAGAAGTGGCCACCAGCCAAGACCGGTTTGGAGTGAGGTGGGGAAACCAGGCCAAAAACAAACTAGAGCCAGAGATTAATAATGACTAATGAATTAGATGCAGAGTGGTGTAAAAACACAAAGTGATTGCCGTTCTTCAGGGTCGGTAGAGATCAGAGAGGTAGAGGTGGCGTCTGTCTCCAGAATCTAAACTGGGAGCTGGTTGTGCCTCCCTTTGTAAGTTTAAATATCCAGGGAACCACAAGAAAGCCAGCAGTTGGAGAGAAAAGTGCTCCACTGGGGTAAAATGAGGTCTTTCAGATAAGATGAGCCCTGATTACTCAAAGGGAAGGATTTTAAATTTCATTCTAGATTTGAACGTGAAGATATAAAAGAAGAATAACATTTCATACTTTTTTCTCACCTCTAAAACATTTTATTTCATTTTAAACTTAGCAACTGCTCGGTGAAGACAAAAACAACATCATGCATTCTTCTGGTTACATTCTTCTATGTCGGGCTGATATGCTTTGTTTTCCTGAGATACAGATAAGGCGTAGTGAAGAGATGTTCAGGGGGGAAAGCGCAATTCCTTCCAGCTTATCATTGCTCAATCAGCTCTAGCATGCTTCCAGAAATAGACGGGGAGAGGAGTTGGACTGAAAAGCCATTAACTGCTCCCCCACATCACCGTCTCGTGGAGGGGACCACAAGCTGGGCTGAACTCCACCTGTTTTTATGACAAGCAGGTGGGGGGGTTCTGAGAGGTGAGCTTGGCACTGGGTTTGAATCAATAGCGGTGCTGGCAACATTTCACTGTCGCACTGCTTCCAGCACATAGCTCGTCTCTCTCTTTGTGTCTCTGTTATATTCTGATCCCAGTCTCACTCTCATTTGGATTTTCCCTTGGTTGGTAAAATATATTACACTCCCTCATGCTGTCTTTGGTCGGTCCTCCCTTCTGTTTTCCACCATCCTTGAGTTTAGCTTGTAGATCAGGTTAAGAACAACTAAATATCTGATGTTGCTTTACAAAACATAAATTTAAGTAAGCAAACTGAAGAGTTCGGATGTAAAAGCCGTCGTCAAAAATCTCATACGAGCTTCAAATATCCCTAAATCCCACAGTGAACCTCTTCCAAAACAAGAGTTTTTGGCAAATAAAACTCAAAATGGCACTACCTTTTGTCGGCAAAAGCCAAAGCACCACTAATTAGAAGACACAACTCACATCATGTGACGTTCAACCAGGTCAGCTTGGATTTATCAGTTTGCTCAGACTGCTATTGTAATGCTGTTTGCCAGCTTCATGCCCGACTTCGTATCTTAACTTACTTGACGTGACAACAGGTTTTATAGTTACTGATACACTGAAGTACATTGATCATAGTGTACTTATTATTTTTTTATCAGTTTATCATTTATTTTTTGTGCTGTCACTTAGCAATGAACTATGATGTCATCTTGTGGATTTTGCTCAACAGCTTTTTCAGTGTTTCGCTTTAATTTCTGCTCTAATGATTTCCAGTGTTAACAGTTGCATCTTTTGTGGTAGAGGCATGGACTGCAAAAGAATACCCAATTTGTTAAAAGCCAATAAATCAATTTAAGTTACATTTACAGTTAACATAACATAGGAGCCTGATTAAAAGAAAAACAACGCTTATTAAAAACAAAACACGTCAGATGGACTTAGACTTTTCTGTCTGAGCTCGTCAATCAAATTAATCCATTTACAACTTGTAATCAAATGATAAGTAAGAAGCAACAAAAGTGCATCATGAAAGTCTAGGAAGTATGTTTGTCTTAGAAGGAATGACTTCGACATTGATTTTTAGAATCAAATGTGAGAAATAATTTAATCTAGAGCTGTAACATCAGTCAGTTCAGTGGTCCATCTATTTACTGACAACAGCCAATCGTGTGCATATTGTATAAGAGATATAACTGACTGCCTTTGTGCATGTCAGCATTCATGATATGATTATTAGTAATCATTAACAAACTAAACATCACTTGTGAGATTGTATTTATGATTGCATGTATTTGCAGAAATAGCAAACCTAATTTAAAAAAGTAGCAGAAAATAACTACTGACTGGCATTGGCGCACCTTTCCCTTTCATTCCAGCTACTGGACATCTCTGATCTCAACCACACACATTACAGTGACTCATGCTTTGTATACCATGACAAATCCTGGATAAAGAGGGAGCTGATATCACTAACGCCTCCTTTCTGTCTCTGTTGCAGGAGCTCCAACTCCCAGCCCCCACCCCAGTATTTTTGAGAATGACCCAACACTTGTGCACAAACACCGTGTCACGTACCAAGATAAACACACTCCCACCAGAGCCTGTATCAGCGGCCGAGATAAACCAACACACACGCTGAACTTTGCACTGCCTATCAAGCCCCGAGTGTATCAGGGGACATGCAGACAGACAAGCAATGATGAGGCAGCCCCAAAGGGACAAAGATATGTCAGCAGGGTCGGTGCTGGCATGATACAGTTCAGCAACCTCTCATCAGAACAAACAGCAGTGACACAGCTCTCAGTAATGGCAACCCAGGCACTGGTCCTTAAATCTGATGCATTTTTTAGTCCTAGACATCAGGGGGTTTTTTCTATAATTACACGTCCATCGTTGTAAATATTCTAATTTATGTGGGGGTATTATCCGATTGGTAATGTCAAACTAGGAAAGGCAAACTAAATTCAAATTCAAAACTGCAAAATGAGCTGAGCATCCAAAGACTTGAGTTACCTTATATTTTTTAGAGGTTTCTGGGCTTCAGTCCACTTGTTCTGTCTTAATATGTCTATTTACATAAAATGTTTTTTCCCTGCACCAAAAGCACCCACTACCAGCCCACATCCTTGAAGACACTGAGTAAAACGTAAATAACGAACATATCTTTCACTCGGTTTTTCAGTTTACACAGTTAAAGTGATGACTGATGTCCGCCTCATCACACTGATTATGCAGTTCTGCTTTTTCACTTGAACCACAAAATATGCCACATCATTTCTCTAATCTACAAGTGGGCATTTTCATCGTATCCAAGGTTCTTCTGCCTTCTATACACGCTGTGCAGAGTACACCTCAGAATCCAGTTGACTGGTTTATCCTGCCTCGACTTAAATGTGAGCCTAAGCTAAGAGGTTATCAGGGTAGACAGAGTCACACTCGCATTAAACGTGTGTGCAATGGCACTTGGCCCAAGTCTGCAGGGCGTGAAAAAAGAAAAAAGTGCCAAGAGCTAGCAGTGTTGCTTGTGTACTGGCATATCTGCGTTACAGGCAGAGGAAATAAAACAATGTGTTATGAAATGTCATGTGTAAGAGCAACTTTGTTCCTGAAACTATGTTGTAGACACGAAACCTGCAATCTCTAACTTAAAAGCACTATTCATGCTCGCTAATGACATGGCTACGCACCAGTGACTTCAGTGCACTCGCCTTCACCAACTGAAGCACAAAGACCAACGACAAAGTGAACCAGGGCAATTATTTTCAAGCTTTTTAATACAAACTTAATAAACCATCAGTCTCTCTTAACATGTAAGACACTGACTCTGAATACTTTGTTATACCGTTTGTTTTTATCAAGTATTGCACAATGTAGGTACAAAATTAATATACGATTACATTTTGTCCATGATATAGCAAAAATCTTTTAAACTCTTAACAGAAAATACAACTCTCATGTATTTTTTTTGAAAAAAAAGAAAGAAAGAAAGAAAGAAAGAAAGCAAATATTCTTATATCCCACCACTACGGAATATTCTGTACACAATCTTTAGGATAGTCAATTTTTTTTACATTTTTTTTTTTTAAATGATAAATTCATTTTTTATTTCAATAAAAAAGAAAACATAAAGTTGCTGCAGCCATCACAGATCACTGGAGTAGTAAAAAGATATAAATGCAATACCATGTCGTAGAAACAATAGATACTCTGATATTTTACAAACTCTGTACTAAATTAAATTATACAATTAGAAAAAGACCAGGAAATCCCACTTATTTATGCCAATCTCTTAAAAAAAACAAAACAAAAAATAATTGGCGATGTCCAGTTATGTTTAAATACTGAAAAGAGGCCATGACTTGTGTTGTTTTTTTCTCTTTTTTGTCTTTTCATATATATATGTATATATATATTTTTTTTTTTTTTTTAAACAGTCACATAAAAAAAATATTTTGTGCTTGGTTGGCAAAAGAAATAACAATGATGCATGTTGAAGTTTAGGTAACCAAGCTTGGACATTTTGTACTACAAGCTTCATTAAGGAAAAGAAAAAGGTATAACTCAAGGGGGCAAAATAATTCACCCTCGGGCTCATGCTCTTAGACTCGTAACAAAGATCTTACAGGTGACAAGTCACTTTTTCCTTTTATACTTGACATTCTGTTCTTGTTTACTTTTTTTTATTTTATTTTTTTTATTTCTGTTTTGAAATGTGCATTTGTGTTTGTTTCCCCCCATCACATTATCTCTGGTCGTTTCTGTATGAAGTAGTAGCTTAAGTAGTACCTTCACGTGTACTAGTTGGCCATAACTGGCTGGAATTGCTGGTTAGAATACTGCATGTTGCTCAAGCTGAAATTCAAGCCATCCATAAGCGACTTGTCATTAAGGCCACCGTAGGCCGCAAACATATCAAAGGCATTGCTGTACTGCAGCGGGCTGAGGCTGAGCGAGCTGTCGCTGGGGAAAAGAGCACTCTGGCTGCCCTGGCCCTGCAGGCTGGGGAACACAAATTCCTTGGCATTGGGGGAGAGTGCCGAGGGCTTCTGGTGCTGCTGCTGCGGCGCGCCGAGGCCTAACCCGTACAGAGAGTGCATGGAGGTGGAGATGGCTTTCTGTTTCAGGAGACTGTTCACATTCAGGCCCAGGTTGGTGGGAGAGGTACGTGCCACCTTGTTCCCAGCACCACTGCCGCCATTGTTGCGTCCACTGCTCTTCATCTTAGTGGAGCCAAACTTGGTGGCAGCAAAGGTGGCTGTTGTGAAGGTTAAAGGCTGCGTGGAGCGGGGCATAAAGGTGGGGCTTACTGCTGCCGAGTGGCCAAAGGGTGGGGAGGGCGAGCTGGAACCCGGGGAGGCGCCATTCACAGGCTCATTGATGGGCATGAAGACCTGCGCGTCTGGATTGAAACTGTTCTTGATCTCTTTGTCCAAATCAAGTCCCACATTGCTACTTCCACTTTCGTTGCTGTCGTCGACGTACAACACTTTGACGGGCCCCTTCTCCCCAATCTGGTAGGACACCTCATAGGGGTCAATCCACACACTGAGGTCCTGGGGAAGGTTGTTGCGGACATCTTCAATGTCCAGCCCACTCTCTTTGGCTGCCTTCTCCACCACGGGGTCAACCTTCTCCCCAACGTGGATGCATCTGAATCCTGAACCTTTGTATGGCTTGTCCGGGTACCAGTGTCCTTCATATTTCTGCTTCAGCTGCCGCTCCAGCTCCTCGCCAAAAATGTTGACTCGCCGCCTGGGCAGCTTGTTATACAGGTATGAGATGATGAAGTTGAGGGCTACTTGGATTTCAAGCTGCATAGCTAACTGCTGAAGTTTACCCGATGCAACAAGATTATTTGTGTCTGACCTTGAACGTATCCACTGGGTCTGCTTTGTTTATCCGTGTTTGGCAGCACAGCTGCTCTCTCCAGTCGGGATGGCAAAAGTAACCAGAACTTGGATGAAACAGGTTGGGGAAAAAAAAACAATCAAAATCAGAAGTGCTGGTTTTGTGTAAGTGGTGTCCTTCCACAGGATGTGATATTTTTTCCTGCAAGAATTAAAAGTGGGGGAGGGACAAAACACATGTATAAGTACATGAAAATATATCTGGAATGATCATGCAGTATGGCTACACAGCTAAAACGAAGGGAGGAGGGTGCTTTAATTATTAAGCATTTGTTTTTAAAGCAGGTATGTTGTACTGTGACCATTTGAGCTCATAAATATGTAGGCTGTAAGCCATAAAATGGCCAACCAAAGCAGGATCTTAAAGGTAAAATAAACCAGAAAAGAGGAATATACAGAATATATTCTAATAATATGAATATATTGATATAAATAAACAGAAGAGGCACTACAGCTGGCCTATACTGTTGTCAACCCTGCATCTAAATGTCAAGAAGTAGGCATCGTGCACATTAACCTCACACTAGGACTGAGAATCCTATTACATAATAGGCTTCTAGATATCCTCCTTACAGCAGGAGACAGGAAAACTACTGCGGGGTTACCGCATTTCAATATCTAAAAAGGGTAAGCTTGACTTAGTGACTGCTTTGTAGATAATACCTAATGGTGGATAAGTTGGCAAAGAAACGATCCGGTTGGATTTCAGGCTTATAACCGTGCTACTGGGTTGGTATGGTATGCATACGGCACAGATTAGTCGAAGCAGTGTCGCCGAACAACCTGTCTGCGCCCATGTTTTGCGATTTTTGCGAAAGGATTTAGCCATTAAACATTTACTGAAACGAAGGCTGGATGCAGGCAGCACAGAAATAGCCCTCTTCTACCGAGAAGAGCTAGACAGAGAGGGTCTATAGGGAGTCAGCCTGTAGAGGCTGCTGAAATGCCCCAGAGTGGATTATTTTATTTCTCAGAGGGGGAAGCTAGCCCACACTGGAAAATAAAACCCCAAAAATCTGCAGTGTCTACACCTCACTAATAAAGATTGGTCGCAGTTGTAGCTACAGGTCTTGGCTGCTGTTACAGTAAGAAAGGCATAATATTGCAGAAACTGCAGCGCACAGGAACAGACTGTACTGACACTAGAAAAAGGCAATACAATAAAAAATAATAACGGGCTGCAGTGAAAATTCAACACCACATCGGACTCATTTCGAGTCTGTGGAGGTATCGCTATGTGCTTACATAAGAATAGAGAAAAAAAGAGCACACACAGCCTATATACACCCCTCCCTAACTTCGTGAACTGACGCAGCAGATCAGCTTATAGTTAAGTATGAATAGAGCTACAGTACAACTATGAGCAATAATAAAGACAGCGACACACACACATTAGCAGAAACAAGAGAGCTGGAGTACTTACTTTTTTGTAAAAAATAAAGATTCTCAGTAGTTCTGAAGTACCGTTAGTTAGTGCAAATAGGAAAAAAAAGTATAAATACTTTCTTCACATATAATAAATTATCAGCGTTACAAAAAAGTCTTCCAGTACACGTAGATTTTTGGAGGATTGGCGTTTACGGTTTTTTTAAGGTTATTTTTCGGTTTTTTGTTTTTTAGCTCTCCTCTTTCAGCAGGCTTGCAGAGTAGCTCCCTCCTTTCTCGGGAGTTTCGCAACTTCGTCCTCTTCTGATACGGCGTTGCTCGTATTTATAGCTTTCCTCCGCCATGGGCACGAGGTAGGCGGTGATGCGGTTCCAGAGGTCAAAACAATGCAAGCGCCTGCGATTGGTCCGCGGCGGGAGTCCCGCCCTCTTCGTGACGCCCGAGGCGAGCACTGATTGGCTGATCGGCGCTGTCAAACTCGGACAAACGGTCCTGTGAGACGAGAGACGCCTGTGATGAGGAGTTTGCGTCAGAGATAACCTAGGTCTGTGCTGACAGCAAAAGGCAAAAGTCCTAATTAATGTTATTCACTAGCAGTATTATGTAAAGAGATCGAGCTGACTTGAAACAAACATAAAGGTGAAACTGTGGCACTTCCGGTAAGTAAATATGTTATAATAACCCACCCAGCAGGTTTTAGTCGTCGCAATCAGATAATATTTAAGACTAACAGCTCTGTGCCATGTTGATACCAGAAAAAGGGGCCTTAAAATAATTTGCGCCTGCATTTCGTCACAGAATAGTCACAAAGACACCCCCCCCCCTTTTTTTTTTTTTTTTTTTTTTTTTCCCTGCCACGAAAAGCTGCAGGATCTGTGATAAATGTATAACGCCTGAGAGGAGATTCCCCACAGCGGAACGATACAGCTGGCAAGCAGTGTGGGTTGTGCTGCATGCTATCTAGAAAACACAAGCGCTGATTGGCCTAAAATGGGGCAGGAACCATACTGTGAATGGTGTACCCGTATCCAAGGTGCTGATGTAGGCTGCGCACGTCATCGCTCGGCTGAACGCACGCTGTTGCCCAATTTAAAGTGAACCGGCACACACACAGGTATCTGCTCAAGAAAGGAAGAGTCGCTGGGGCTTTAAAAGCCTTTAAAACCACAATAAGGAAAACGTGCTTTCTCCTCATGATTAATGGTGTTATGTGAAACGGAAATAAAGTCGTTATCCTGATTAATTTACTTTGCTGACAACTTTGAGGTCGTATAGATAGATAGATAGATAGATAGATAGATAGGTCGCCTTATTTACCATGGCAGCAGTGCTTTTTATTAAAAAAAAAAGTCTGACAGAGTGGACATTCTTATGTTTCCCAAGCAGAGTCATGTGCTTGATGTGAGCTGTAAATGCGAGCAAACAGGGCTCCTGTGGAAAGTGCTTTAGGGAACAAGACATGACAGATGAGGCAGGGGTGGCTGAAATAGAGGGGGATTATACGATTTGACATTGCCCAGCAGATTCAGATTCACCATCTATCTTAAAGTGGAAGTGGGCGGGTGAGTGAGTGGACTGCCAGCCAGCAGCACTGTGTTTTGCAGCATGCCTTGTGGGCTGTTTTCACTGTAAAGATCTCGGTGTCACATGTCCTCCAGAATCACTTCCATATAGCCATTCTGCTGGGGCTCCTTTTTATGGTATGGTGTTTATATTGTGTATGGCTCCTGTATTTTTTCCCCCACTAATGTGTACACAATTTGTGCCCTTGTGATGTTTGGAGTGGCAATAAAAGGCATCAGCTGACAGAGCAAGGTCAGCAGCTATAATCAGGCACGTTAAGACTGCTATATTGTCTTAGAGCGTAATCCTCTAATCATTGGAGTCCAGTGTATCTGCCACTCACTGCTGCTTCTGTCACATGAAGATTTCTAATTCTCCCCTGAAAACAGTGTCCAGTCTAACTTTGTGCCACAGAAATGAGAATATAGGCAGTTACGTGAGTAATTTAGCAAACGCTGCAGCTCAGTTGCCTTCTTGTATGGAAATCCAGCTCATCAGGGCTTAAGCTGACCTTCCTGTGGAACTTTGCAACAAGAAAGGAGAAAAGGGTATTTTAAAGTTTACTAAGCCATTTCTCAGCAAACTGAAGGGCATCTTTTAAGTATTTACAACAAGGCCTTAACCTAACATTCCTCTAGCACCAGAAGACAACACGGTGTTGCCCATCCTTCACTGCTGTCCTTTAACAGAAAAACACAAGCCCCTGGTGTGAAGTGACTACAGACCATAATAATCCACTTCTGCTTTCCTCTGAATGGTTTGTTCAAAGTAATAAGCGATAAGAAATGGGAAAAAAGACAGCCCAATAATGTGCAATAATGTAAAAGGCATTATCCTCTTAGCAACGAGGAACTTAAGGGCTGTGATTAAATAACCATTTGCTTTGTGTTTATTTAAGGTCTACTTTTATAGTGCAGTGACACAAACAAACAGACACACAAGTGGAGGAGGATTTCTCACACACTGCTGCTTCCCTGTCTGCCTCCCCGCCTTCCTTTCCTTTTATC